TTCAAAATGCACGCCAAAATTCCTCTTGTATTCAAGTTACAGTGTAGATTTAGACTAGGGTTATTACAAGTGTTTGAGCGATCAGATCTAAGGCTCATTTAGCAAATTTATCTATTATTTTCAATCAAATCTTTTTGATAAGATTTTTTGCTAATCAAAGTGAACACAAAGTAAGTACGAGTCTTTTGTTCGTACAGCCTAAAAAATCAATGGATATTGATTGATATCTTTATCGATTATCTGTTAAAGTGTTTACTATTTCAGCTTTTAGTGATTGACCTGACTGATGAGTGTTTCTGAAGTGATAACTTGAATGATAGATGACTTTTTTTCTAAGTGAAATAATACGAATTGGCATTGAAATTGTGAATCGATTAATGTTAGACTACCATTAGAAACCTGGCAGCACTGAAAGATGGTCACTTCGTCCCGTAATGGGACTCATTAGAAGTGTACACACACCATTCCCTATTCGCAGGAGTCGAACCCAGGACATTCAGTCTTGCGCGCAAACGCCTAACAAACCAGATCCCCCTAGATGAGGAAGAAGTTTTGTAGGTGGATAGATGACATATTGCGGAAAGTGCCTAACTGAATCACGTGGCAAGAATTAACTTGTATAATCCTCATAACCAAATTAAAAGAGTTAGACTAAGGAAAACATTGAGAATCGGAGACAGACACGAAAAGATTAAGCCACAGTAGGGAAGAAATGGAAAGTAGACTGGAAAACGCAGTTGAATGAAGATTGCTAGTCGACGAATGATGCTCCATGATGGATAACAGGTGTAATTAACAGGTTAGATAAGACCTTTTTTAAAACTAACTATATCTACATTATAATTATGAATGGTAATCAACACGAAACTTAAGAAAGGCTTCGTATTAAGTGTCACTAAATACCTGTGCTAGAACACAAGATTTGCCGATAGTCTAAATTTACATTTTATTGAAACCATGAATCGATCAGTGTTAGACCACCATTAGAAACCTAGAAGCACTGGACGCCCGTTTCGTCCTGGTATGGGACCGTAATACAAATTACCTGTGCTCACTAATGACTAGCTTGGTGAGGAACCTTCTCCGAGTTCTAGTTGACAAGACGTGACCAGTGAAGTTCAACCTGTTCGGGTGTAGACAGTAACTACCGAAGACTGTGTATGAGGTTGCGCAACTTCATGAACTGATCAAGTTAGATATTAACACCGTTAGACACCGGCTCAGTGGTCCGTTGGTTATTCGTTCGCCTACAATACCGAAGGTCCTTGGTTCGAATCCTGCGAGGTGCAGAAGTCGTGGATGCCCACTGCTGATGAGTCCCATACCAGGAGGAACCGGCCGTCTTTCAGTGCTTCCAGGTTTCTAATGGTGGTCTAACATTGATCGATTGATGGTTTCAAAAATGTGTAACTTAACAATCTTCACAACCCCGTAATATAAATTTACATTAATAATCTCATGATAAAAATGTTATTAGTTTTTTTATTACATACGATGATCAATAAATTGTAGGTCAAAGCAACATTTAAAACAAGATGAACCTAACAATTAAAATTGATTAGTGTTTGTCTGTGAAAGATGAAATCACAAGAAAAAACGGAAGAAGAAGAAGAACAAGGTGAAGGTGAAGGTGAAGACGTTCAAAATGATTCTAATAAAAACAACTTATCATAAACAAAGCACCAATTTAACATAAATAAATTTAAGGTTAATGACTTAAGTGAAGAAGGTTAATTGGATTTTTTCTAAATAAAAAAAAAACAATCATGACGAGATTATACAACTGATAAGTGTGAAAGTATGATACGAAATTCTCCAGCTGTTGATAGTCAGTCAATCAGTCAGTTATAACATAGAACTTCGTAGGTTCAAGTTGCCATACCACATTAGCATACAGACGCTATATAGACGTCAATTCTAATCCCAATAGTAATAGAGGAAATAGCAGTACTGACAGAAAACGGACGGATTAAGGTTCGAAGTATTATCCAGTGAAAGGTGATGAAGAATTCATACCCATATAGTAGGGCTGAGTGAACTGATGCGTAGTAGACTCGTTATTTGGTCAACAGACTGATATCTCCCCTACGCTATAAGTGACGCAAGTTGGCCAAAGTCAATTGAGTCTTCTGCATCCGTGCTGAGATTTCGTTTAGATATTAGACCATCAGCTCTAATTAGACTCCCGAGATAACCGTAAACAACAGATACAATTCACTGAAAAAAAACAGAAATTTTCGAGTAAATCAAATGTTCCACTGAGAGCACTGAAGAATACAAATGATATCAGAAGACACAGAGAGATAGTTATGTTTTTAACTGATGAAAAATTCAAATTTTTGAATCCTCATGTGTTTCTCAACTCTGCCTGGAGCCCTTTTGAGGCTACTGCCGGTCCAAAGCTCGGTTACAGGAGAAGTGTAGGGCTTGGGGTTTAAGACCCCACCTCGTAGAAAACTAACTCGCTAAAAAACGCTAACCGGAAAAAATATTTATATGTTTCTCTCATTGTCAGGTAAGTCAGTCAGTCAGATGCAACGTAGAACTTCGTACGTAAGTACATCAGTTCATGTTGCCATACCACATCAGCACAGAGATGTAATTTTCAATTCAAATCCAATAGTAGAAGAGGTAGTAAAGGTTTTAGAAGTAATCGAAGAGGTTAGAATTACGAGATATTATTCAAGAAGTGTGATTAAATGAGAAAAGTTTAGAAAGTCAAAACTAGAGGTATTGAAGAATCCATAAGATTAGGATTTGAGAGAACAGAAATAATAAATGCACCGACGCCGTTGCAAACGATTTTGAGCCATGTCATTCAAGGTCTCTAACCATCGATTATTATCATCTCGCGGACCCCAACCACGTAGTCGACAATTACCGACATGGCTAAGTCCACTCGTCAATGACTTCATGGATTTCTGCTATGTTTTGGTTTGGCCGCTCTTCCAATCTACTCCTACACTACAAAACACGGCTCTTCGAGGCAGTCGGTGGTTAGGCATACGTAACACATGTCCCAACCACCTCAACTGATGAAGTCTCAGCACGTCATCTATTGATCTGCCATTCTTACCTAGCACCCGATTCCTAATAACAACGTTGCTCACTTGGGTGTCCCACGATATACGAGCAATGCTTCGAAGACACCTATGATCGAAAACCAGTAACCTACGAATATCTTCTACTCTGACTGGCCATGTTTCACAGCCATTTTCAGGACCATTAGTTATGATCTGAATCTTGAAAAATTGTAAGAACACACAAATCTACTAAGACCAAAAACTCAAAAAGTCAACCAAAAAGCCTAACTTCCGCAAATTTTCTGAGGAGGTTTTAGAGAGTAGGGAGTATTTTGATATAATAGTTATGGTTGCTCCAACCTTCCTTCCCTAAAGTTACCAATGATATAAAGCAATTAGCCCTTTTTTTCAGCAAATTTAAATAAATTCATGAGAAGACAGAGTTATTGATCAGAAAAAAAATGTAACCTATTTGCATACTACAACACATTTTAAACAATCTGGTCATCTATTTACACTTGTCAAGGCATGTGAACATGAAAACTGATATAAAGGTCAATGAACCGAAGGTGATAATGATAGATAAGGGTGTAGAAGGAATATGAAATGGTCACATTACCCTTAGACAAAAAATAAAAAATGCCTTGAAGATTAACAGGGTAAACTTAAGGTTACACGATAAATGGTTTATGCATAGATAAAGGGGGTTTGAATTTGTGAATAGCCAAGGTTTCCATCAATTTGAGAATTCGTCTTTGAACATTTTTGTAAAACGTTTTAAAAGCTGTATTGATGTGAATTCTATGATCCATCTCACTCATGGCTTTTACCATCGATGAACATAGTTTTCTGTTTCTCACATATATCAAATCATTTGACATAAATTGATTTCGAAACCGTCTAGGTGCATGTTTCCTAAACTCTGATTACATTGTCAGATTACCACTCCCTAAATATATATGCTTGAAACTATTATGAGTTCACCTTACTCGGTAAACGGAAAGTAGATCAATAATTAGGTGACACGATAGGCTATGCTAATCCGATTGTTCCAGGCACCACTAACTAGGGTAAGAAGTCTTGATAAGACGTAGAGAATGTATTCCACAGGCGATTAGAAAGTACGAGGTCGACAAGCACACAACTCAAGCTTATTTATACAATGATAAAACGCCCTTGGTGTGAGCCACAAAATAACATACTAAAAAGTATCCATCCACCAATGACGGTCAAGGATTTTTCCGAGTGGGAAATACAAACTGAAAGTCAAAATAAGCGTCTTTGGCCGGAAAACATAGAATTCAAAATTTCAGACCTTTTCCAAGCGAGTTCTGCAGATCTAACGTCCCCAACAGCATATGCTCTTAAAAACGCAATGGGATATGACATAATCACCAGGCCAGTATCAATGCCTATTAGGAATTATAGGTTTAATCCTTAAGATTCAAGACTGTTTAGCAGCGTAGTATGCTTTCTCAATAGCTGCTTTTAACCTCTATCTTTAAAAGCATACTGTTTGATTCACCTCTAAATAGTAGACAGATATAAACACTTTCATCTTCAGCAAAATAAAAGAGAGATCTGCAGAACATATCCTTTGAGTTCTGCTGAACAGGCATTTTAACAAGCCTCACTTCTGTTTCAGGTTGGTTTCCAATAAACTGACCGTTTTATATTAGGCATATTTTGTCCGGCTGACGTGTCCCAACTAGATAAGAACGCATGTCCTGGATCCCGCTGCTAGCCACATTCTATCTCGCAAAAATTTATGTCATAATGTCTATATCGAGACAATCATCATAGAATGATGAGATTTCAGTCAAAATAGCAACAACGAGACAGTCCAAATTAAATGAACCGCTTTCTGTATAGTTGCATCCTTTCTTCATGTGTATATATTGAACAAATGATGTAGGTGATTTTTTCGATTGACCAATTAAAATACAAAAAAACAGTAAGAACATTTTATAAACTTACTAAAATCTTTTTCCCGCCACTCTCCTTACTTAATGACGATGATTTACTATCACAACTGAATAACGTTGACATATACGATGGTAATGCTGTATCGCCATTAGTTGTTAAATGTTCAATTGAATATGGTGGATTTTGTTTATGTTGTCGATGTGAACGATTTAATTTGATGGAACTTCGATTATCATTCACATGTTGATGTTGATTATATCTAATCAGGGAGGAGGATCGACGTGGTGAACTGTTGTTATGTAATAAGACATGGTCATTTTGTGTTTGTGAAATATGATGAGTAGTATTAGTAGTAGTATTGGTAGTAGTGTGATTAAATTTAAACGGGGATGATTTGATTTCTTTCAATGAATAATCATTACAATTGGATAATAGGGATGAGTAAGAATTGGTATTGTGGTTGTTATTAGTAGTATTGTCATTTGTAGTAGTAGTATTATTGTTGTTGCGATTATGTTCTTGACTGAAGTAGCCTAAAAACGTAAGAAATATAAAGACTTGATGAGATTGTATTATTACTATTGAACAAATAAGATTTTAGATAGATAGATAGAACTCAATAATACCTTCAATACATGGTGATCGATTGGATCATGAACACGTCAACATCTGGTGAGGGGAAGCACGGGATACAGTGGACAGCTAGGATACAGCTGCACCATCTAGACGTCGCAGATGATCTACACCTACTATTTCACATGCAACAACAAATGCAAAAGAAGAAGGTGAGTGTATCAGCAGCATCTCCAGTAGTAGGTCTTAACAAACACCCGATAAAACAAAACACACATCAATCAAATAAGACTTGACGGAGAAGCTCGGGAAGATGTTAAATTTTTTACATATCTGGCCAGCAAAATCGATGAGCAAGGGGGATTCAACACAAATTTTAAAATGCTGGTTGACAAACTACAATTCAAGAATATCTGCAACTCAAAACAACTATCAACTAACACCAAAGTCACAATTGTTAATAGAAACGTTAAAACAGTTCGACAGTTTGTGGCGGAAGCTTGCAGAACTACAAATGCCGTCATCCACAACATACAAGTGTTTATTAACAGTTGTCGAGGCAAAATTCTCCGAATCCGTTGACCAGACACCATCAGCAACAACCTATTGTGAGAATGAGCAATCCATATTCCAGCTTAGGAAGAAATGAGAAAGGAGCGCTCGAAGTGAACAGGACACACATTGAAGAACGCACCCAACTGCGTCAGAGAACAAGCTCTCAGCTGGAATCTTCAAGAGCAAAGGAGAAGAGGAACACCAAAGAACACATTATGCCGAGAAATGGAAACAGACATGAGAAGAATGAATATTGACTTGGTTGAACTAGAAAGGAAGGAAGAGGACAGAGTAGGTTGGCGAATGCTGGTCGGCGGTCTGTGCTTGATTGGGGGTAATGAGCACAAGTGCGTAAGAGAAAGAACAAGTCGGATGGGAAACAAAACTGTCACCAGTACCAAAATTAAATGGAAATCATCAGTTCTATTCAGTTTCATGTTCTTTGTTACACTACTACTACTATTACTACCACTCACACTACTACTTCTGTGGTGCGCGCTACTTATAAGTAGTATATGACGTGAGTGTAAACGTAATGTCTGGCAGCAGAAGATGGGGGAAGATCAAGAAAGGAAGTGTGGAAACACAATGGAATTTGTATGAAACGCATGAATAGTGCAACGTCAGAAAATGGATTGACGATGGATTGAAGATTTGCAAATTAACCGTTACGATATGATTTTCCTATTTTACTGAGTAACTCTGTAAATTGCGATAAATACAATTTGGTTGCCCTCACCTGTGTTCTCCTTCACTACACTACTACTACTGCTACTGCTACTACTACTACTATTACCACTACCACTCACACTGCTACTACTACTGTGGTGTGTGCTACTTATACGAACGATATAAGTAGTATAAGAATGGACGTGAAAGAAGAAGTCTTACGGTCAGAAGAGGAAAACGGAAAGCAAATAGAGCAAAAGCAAGAAAGAAATAGAGCACCGACAGGAAGTAAAGGAAGCAACAGCAGGAATGGAAGAAGGCTGAAGCGTTGGAAGTCAGGACTCAAAGATGGTGTGCAAATGGAGTGTTCAATGCAATGTTAGTCAATTAAAAACGATAACATTGCATTGAACACTCCATTTGCACACCATCTTTGAGTCCTGACTTCCAACGCTTCAGCCTTCTTCCATTCCTGCTGTTACTTCCTTTACTTCCTGTCGGTGCTCTATTTCTTTCTTGCTTTTGCTCTATTTGCTTTCCGTTTTCCTCTTCTGACCGTAAGACTTCTTCTTTCACGTCCATTCTTATACTACTTATATCGTTCGTATAAGTAGCACACACCACACTACTACCATCACTTAAGCAAGAAAATGCAGTTTTACAGTAAGAAATAACCATTTAATGCCTAAACCGCTACATTGTCTACATTGTCTATCTAGTCAAAAAAAGACAAATGAATCATTGAAGGTAACTTTTTCCATAATTTCTGTTTATATATATATATCTATATAGACATAAATATTCACAGTGTATCGGATAAACAAACATCAAAAAACCGAAACACTAGACAATGTGTTACATTTTAAAATTGGTGACACAAATGACCAGTAGTTCAATGTATCAAAAATGGATAGAATTTGAAGTAAACAATGCAAAGAATGATATGGATGATGACTGTGATTAGTATGGCCTCCATTTAAAACTACCATGTCATTCCTTATTGTATAAGTGTGTGCGTGTGTGCGCGCGTATTCAATAAATCATTTTATTTCAGTAAACAATAATTACAGAGATAAAAAAGGAATGAACATTGAAAAAATAAGTCTGACAGTTGAACAGAGTTCTGTATGTCTCATCCAATATAAGTCAAGTCAAACAAGTAAATTTCACATTTCATTTTAGTCACAATGATTCATTCATACAATATACACAAGTCTGGCGATGACCAAAGGTTTGACTGAATAGATGAATTGCTTTCATATATATATATACCAGTATGTACTGTGGAAATGTTAGAAATGCATTGAAACCACAAGGCTAGTTTAATACACAAAACCAGAATACTGCAGTACTGGGCCTCGAGCTCGTGAACGGGACTCGAACCCAGGATCATGGAAATTACATGCGGATGCTTGACGTTTAGACCACTGAGACGAGACCCTACGATGTATCAGTCTACTTTCAATCAACACACAATAATACAGGAATGTATATTTCATTGTCTTCGATGGGTACTATCCTAGTACCCCAAATTGGTTTAGCTCATTTTGAAATGCGATATATATCAGGGCTTCTTAACAGCTAAAAACAGCCTAAATTTGTTGTAAGTCATAGAAAAATGAGCAACATTATTGTTCGTTGATATTGATTTTTCATGGCAAAAGTCCACGAAGTCACTGACAATTGGACCGATCCATGTTAGTAGTAGGTGTAGACTAACTGGTTGGGGTCCACTAGATAATAGTAACCGATAGTTAGAGACCTTGAATAACATCATGACTCAAAATCGTTTGAAATGATGCAGGTGAATCCTTTGTTTGTGTTCTCTCAAGACTTCAAGAGCCAATGACCTTTTCGCGTTTCTTTTCAAATTTATTTCACTGACTTGTACTTCTTGAATAACATCATCTAACCTAGATCTTCTTGATTACCACTAATACTTCTACTACCTCTAATACTATGAGATTCAAATCGACCACAATTCGATGTCTCTGTGCTAATGTGGTACAGTGACGTGAACTGAAGTATATACATACGAATTTCTACATTGTAGCTAACTGGGCTGACTGACATTGAGAAATCTAACATGTGAATTGTTAATATGTAGTGAAATAGTTCAACTTTTTGTTTCAGTTCTGTTTTAAAGATCAACCAAGTAGTAGATTATTGTATCTTGCATAATTTTCACTCGATAACAACACAGTTATTTGCTAAGATTTTCTCATCACAGAGATTTACTAATCAGTGTGCATATCTCTTTATTTCTTGTATACACTTCAAAATAACATCACTTCCTGTAACATTGAAAAACACAATCATAGCATAAACAGAGTAACACTTGGAGCACATTGATCTATTGATAGAAATTGGCAAACGGTGTGGATAAAAACAGTAAATACACCGAAAATTTTTCATAAACTTCAGACGAATGTAAAACGAGCAAATCCGTACTTTAAATCTCTCTCTCTCTCTGTCTATGGCTTGTTAGATGGCAAGCAAGAAATTTGTAAATGAACTTATCAAGCTTAGTTGAATGATCAATGACTTCATAAGCTGATTTAAAAATTTCTTGGTATGTTTAATTAAAATATTTAAGAAAGTCCTGATTGGTTTAGTGAACAGAATTCAGTCAGTCATTCTGTCGGTCAGTCAGCTACAACATAGCAATTCGTACGTACGTACGTACGAACATCAGTTCAAGTCGCCATACCACATTAGCACACAAAGAGATTGAATTGTCAATTTAAACCCCATAGCAGTAGAGGTAGTAGAAGTATTAGCGGCAATGAAGAAGATCAGAGTTTTAAAATATAATTCAAGAAATATGATCCAATGAATTAAACTTAAAAAAAGAGAAAGATAAAGGTGATGAGGAATTTTAAACAATCACCACAATTCGAGGAGAAAGACAAAGAATGGATGCACCTGTGCGCAGTACACTCGTCCTCCGTTTGCTGACTAAAGGACGAGTGTACTGCGCAGTAGTTCGCTCTGTCTTACTTTATGGCTGTGAAACATGGCCAGTGAGAGTAGAAGACATACGTCGGTTATTGGTTTTCGATCATGGATGTCTTCGAAGCATTACTCGTATATCCTGGGACACTCGAGTGAGCAACGCTGTTATTGGGTAAAGGGTGCTAGGTAAGAATGGCAGACCAATAGATGAAGTAGTGAAACTTCATCAGTTGAGGTGGTTGGGACATGTGCTGCGTATGCCTAACCACCGACTGCCTCGACGAGCTTTGTTTCGTAGTGCAGGAATAGGTTTGTGGCCAAACCAAAACATGGCAGAAATCTATGATGTCACTGACGCGTGGACTTAGCCATGTCGGTAATTGTCGACTACCTAATTTGGGTCCGCGAGATGATAATAATCGATGGTTAGAGACCCTAAATGACAATGCTCAAAACCGTTTGCAATGACACCGGTGCATTTATTCTTTATGTTCTCTCAAATCTTAATCTTCTGGATTCTTCAACACCTCTAGTTTTGACTTTCTAAACTTATCTCACTGAATCATACTTGGTGAATAATATCTTCTAATCCTAACCTCTTCGATTACTTATAATACCTATTCTACCTCTTCTACTATTGGATTTGAATTGACAATTACATCTTTGTGCTGATGTGGTATGGCGACATGAACTGATGTACTTACATACGAAGTTCTACGTTGCATCTGACTGACTGACCTGTGAGATTTCAAACGATTTTGAGCCATATCATTCAACATCTCCACCCATCGGTTATCATTGCTTCGCAGTCCCCAACCAGTTCAAAAAATTTCGAGCTATGTCCAGATATTGTTCAAGAATAAACTTATTGAGAGAGAAAAATGTTCATGAGGAATTTAAAAGATTAGAATTTGAGAGAAGACAAAGAATGGATGCATCATTTCCGAGCTAATATCAAATCAAATATTAAGCGTATCTTATCACTGACTGAGTTTCAATCAAATTGATACATTTATTTGCATAACATTCATATTGATAAAAAAATGGACGCTTGATTTGACCTTGAACGTTACATTAAAATTCATTGAACAATTGAATAAGAATTCTAGAAGATTACTTCTATAGAATTTCATAGATTTTTTTAAATCGATGTATTCTCTAGAATACTGATTAACACAGAAAAATGATTTTGAAACAATTTCCTTGTAAATATATATCAAATATATGTATATATATGTATGTATATAACAACATGAAATCACTTGAAATTGTTTACACGCATTGAATATTTAACTAAATAGCCTTTTTGTCAACGTTGATTGGTTGGTTAGGTAATAAAATTTCTTTGTCAATTTAAACACTCTTATTTTTTGTTTTGTTTTCTAAAACTAGATTGTTTTACTGGTTTTATTTTCTGTTTATATTGTAAACAAAATGTGCATTGTATGCGTGAAATTTATCATGCTGATTGTTTGATTATTACTAGCATCTTTTGCTTTCTCCTATCTCACTCTCTAATTTCATCTACGTAATTTTCATGTATGTCAACTAATTGTCCTTTGTGTGTGCGGTGTGTGTGTTTTGAAAGAGATGTGTGCAACACAGTGGTAACTTATGTTGTAATTTTTAGTCAACTATAACAGAACTTTGTACGCAAGTGAAAGACAGTTCTACTGTATGGAGCGGAAACATGGAGAACTACGAAAACCATCATCCAGAAGATACAAGTGTTTATTAACAGTTGTCTACGCAAAATACTTCGTATTCGTTGGTCAGATACCATCAGCAACAACGAACTGTGGGAGAGAACAAACCAGATTCCAGTGGAGGAGGAAGTAAGGAAGAAGCGTTGGAAGTGGATAGATACACACTACGAAAAGCACCTACCTGCGTCACGATTCAAGTCCTCACATTGAACCCTCACGGCAAAAGGAAAAGAGGAAGGCCAAGGAGCACACTACGCCGAGAAATTGAGAAAGATATGAGAGGAATGAACAAACATTGGACAGAACTGGAGAGGGAAGCCCATGACAGAGTTGGTTGGAGAATGCTGGTGTGCGGCCTATGCTCCATTGGGGGTAACAGGCGTAAGTAAGTAAGTAAGTTGTACGCAAGTACACCACCATATTAGTAGTACAGATGCAATGGTCAATTTGAAATCCTTAGTAATTGAGGTAGTAAAAGTATTAGCAGGAATCGAGAAAATTTAGGTTTGAAAATATTATTCAAGAAGTATGATCTAGTGAAATTAGTTTAAAAAGTTGAAAGGTGATGAAGAACTCAGAAGATTATAATTTGAGGCAACAGAAAGAACAGATGCGCCTGTTCGATTGAAACGATTTTCAGCAGTTTCATTCAAGGCAAGATATCCGCTTGCTAACCAAAGGACGAGTCTACTGTGAAGCAGTTCGCTCTGTCCTACTGTACGGATGCAAGACTTGGCCGTTAAGAGTAGAAGACATTCGTAGGTTACTAGTATTTGATTATACATGTCTTAGAAGGATTGCTCGTATACTGTGGGACAACCGAGTAAGCAATGCTGTCGTTAGGAAACGAGTTCTAGGTAGGGATGGCAAATCAATAGATGAAGTATTGAAACTTCATCAGTTGAGGTGGTTGAGACATGTGTTACGTATGCCTAACCACCGACTGCCTCGAAGAGCTATGTTTTGTGGTGTAGGAGTAGGTTGGAAGAAAGCTAGATGTGGCCAGACCAAAACATGGCATAAATCCATGAAGTCATTGACGAGTGAACTTAGCCATATCAGTAGTTATCGACTACCTGGTTGGGGTCCACGAGACGAAAGTCACCGATAGTTAGAGACCTTGAATGACATGACTCAAAATCGTTTGCAATGGCGCAGGTGCATCCACTCTTTGTGTTCTCTCTAATTCTAACCTTCTGAATTCCTCATAATCTCTATCTTTCTCCTTCTAAATTTATCTTACTCAATTATACTTCTCGAATCATATCTTCGAACCCTAATCTTCTCCATTACTGCTAGTACTTCTATTATAGCTATCACTGTTGGGT